GCTTCCCCCACAAGATTCAAACACAAAAGAAAACTGGCTGACTCACCGGCGTTGTTTTCGGTGGTCGTTTTGCTGCTCTCTTCTTCACACTGCGATTCAAGCTATCTTCAAAGTCACTGCCTTCATCAGCTAACAAAGAGTCACTATTCCTGTGAGAAAATATGGTTCTCTTTAAATACAACCATCCTATTCCCTCCATATAAAAGGCTAATGAATTATAGTTTCTCTGTCTCTCACTGCACCCCATCTCCATGAGAAAAACATATTCGGATTTTAAGAAAAAATGAGCTTATTATTCGTAGGAAGTTGGGGCAAAATCTTTTTTTTTTTTTTTTTTTTTTTGAGACAGAGTTTCACTCTTGTCACCCAGGCTAGAGTGCAATGGCGTGATCTCGGCTCACTGCAACCTCCACCTCCCAGGTTCAAGCGATTCTCCTACCTCAGCCTCCGAGTAGCTGGGATTACAGGTGTTTCATGTTGGTTAGGCTGGTATCAAACTCCTGACCTCAGGTGATCCACCCGCCTCAGCCTCCCAAAGTGTTGGGATTACAAGCTTGAGCCACTACACCCGGCTGAGACGAAGTCTTAAAGGAAAACTTTCATGTGAAAGCAATGGAGATGAAGAATGAGGAAATGAGACAGGGGAAGGACAACCCTTCCTAGTATTCTCTCCGAATAAGAGAATCAAATGATACTCACTTAGCAGGTAGAGAAAAATAATCATGGCTCAGGAAGTCATCTATCACTCAACCATAAATGGAAGAGTAATATGTACCTAAATTTCACCCCCTTGAAACATAAACCACATGTCTTATCAATTCAAGTTTATAACATTGATATAACCTGGTCCCCCACAGTAGCACTGACAGAAACAGAAATGACTCAGAGAAAGCCAATTAAAACAGCCAGGGGATAAAGCAGATCTATATGAAATTAGCTTTTTTCCTTCTGAAAACATGAAAAACCAAGATATATCATTATAACCTACACAGAATAAACTCTCATATGGTAATAAATAAAGATACACAGACCTGTTTACAAAATCCTCAAGTAGGAGAACTAGGGGACACCGGCTAGAAAGTATATACAATTTGCCAGGCAACAAATAAAGAACTCTTTACTCCCCCATCTGCCACCTCTCAGCCCCCACCAGGGGTTGTACATGCTGAACACAGAAATGTGTTTAAGAGAGGTTTAGACAAGATGGAATGGATTAAAAATAGGATGTGCTTGAACCCGGGAGGCAGAGGCTGCAGTGAGCCGAGATCGCGCCACGGCACTCCAACCTGGCCAACAGGGCAAGACTCCGTCTCCAAAAAAAAAAAAAGCAGGATGTACTACTATTTTGATGTCTGCAACACCTAACACCTAGGACCACCAAAAAAAAAAACCCACCTAGAGCTGGAGGGAGGGTGTCACTGTGCTGAACGAGTATAGCACTTCTGGTGTTTTCACACAGTCCCACGCATATTATCATCAATGTGGGGAAACGAGAGGCAGAAGGCTGCGACAGACACAGGAAGTGGCTGCACAATGCAACATCTACTTACCCCTCTGATGTATGGTTTGAGTCCCTGTCATCAAAGGGTAGACTGGCAGAGGAACTAGAAGATGCAGACAAGGCCGTCCTGGCACCTCCCGCAGCTCTTTGCAGTGGGGAGGACATGCTTAGAGAGGAGCTACGGGGCCAGGACGATGAAGACTGCAGGGTAGGTATGGCGATCCAGCTGGAGAAAGAAATATAAGAAAGGGCTCCTATCACAGCACTTCTCCATCCCCAGCCCTGACCAGTTCCTTTCTTTCCAAGGGAATGGTTCTAGAACTCTGGGGTTGGGTGAGGGGGACCAAAAACTAAGACAAAAGCTGGGCACCATGGCTCATGCCTATAATCCCAGCACTTTGGGAGGCCGAGGCAGGAGGATGGCTTGAGCCCAGGAGTTCAAGACCAGCCTGGGCAATACAGCAAGAACCCATTTCTACAAAAAATAATAATAATAGTCAGGTGTGGTAGCGCATGCCTGTATTTAGCTATTCACGAGGCTGAGGTGGGAGGACTGCCTGAGTCCAGGAGTTCAAGGCTACAGTGAGCTATGATCGCACCACTGTACTCCAGCCTGGGTGACAGAGCAAGACCCTGTCCCAGAAAAAAAAGAAAAAAAAAAGTAATAATAAATAAGAAAAATGGCTGGGCACAGTGACTCATGCCTGTAACTCCAGCACTTTGGGAGACCGAGGCAGGCAGATCACCTGAGGTCGGGGGCTCGAGACCAGCCTGACCAACATGGAGAAACCCTGTCTCTACTAAAAATACGAAATTAGCCGGGTGTGATGGTATATACCTGTAATCCCAGCTACTCGAGAGGCTGAGGCAGGAGAATCGCTTGAACATAGAAGGCAGAAGTTGCAGTGAGCTGAGACTGTGCCATTGCACGCTAGCCTGGGCAACAAGAGCTAAACTCCATCTCAAAATAAATAAATAAGACAAAGAGCTGACCTAAGGCATCAAGGGATTAAGGACAACAACACCCCAGAAACTGGCCAGTGGGTTTGGAGTTGCTCTCCAACAGCTGAGGAAGTCACACACCAGGGCAGCTTCAGACACATCTCTCTAGAGGCTGTGGAAGTGCAAACTGCCTGTTGCAAGTAAATTTAACTCATGGGTTTTTTCTTCAAAAAAAAAAAAAAAGAAAAAAAAAAAAGCACGCTGGGTGCAGCAGATCATACCTATAATCCCAGAACTTTAGGCAGCTGAGGTGGGAGGACTGCTTGAGCCCAGTAGTTCAAGACCAGCCTGGGCAACATAGCAAGACCCCATCTCTACAAAAAATAAGCAAAAACTAGCTATGTGTGGTGGCGCACACCTGTGGTCCCAGCTACTGATGAGGCTGAGGCAGGAGGACTGCTTGAGCCCAGCAGTTTGAGACCAGACTTAGCAACATGAGATGCGTCCAAAAAAAAAAAAAAAAATCCGAGCAAAGCACACACCAGGGCAGCTTCAGACACAGCCCTCTCTAGAGGCTTCAGAAGTGTAAACTGCCTGCTGCAAGGGAATTTAACTCATAGGTTTAAAAAAAAAAAAAAAAAGGCAAGGCGCCCACGGTGGCTCAAACCTGGAATCCTAGCACTTTGAGCGGCTGAAGCAGGAGGACTGCCTGACCCCAACAGTTCGAAATCAGCCTGGGCAACATAGCAAGACCCTGTCTCTATGAAACAAAACAAAACAAAACAAAACAACTAGCCAGGCGTGGTGGTGCACCTGTAGTCCCAGCTACTGTGGAGAATGAGGCAGGATGATCACCTGAGCCCAGGAGGTCGAGGCTGCAGTAAGCTATGACTGCACCATGCACTCCAGCCTGGGCAACAGAGCAAGACCCTGTCTCTACGAAACAAAACAAAACAAAACAAAACAAAACAAAACAACTAGCCAGGCGTGGTGGTGCACCTGTAGTCCCAGCTACTGTGGAGAATGAGGCGGGATGATCACCTGAGCCCAGGAGGTCGAGGCTGCAGTGAGCTATGACTGCACCATGCACTCCAGCCTGGGCAACAGAGCAAGACTCTGTCTCAAAAAATAGTAATGACAAATAAATAAGACAAAGAGTGGCCCTAAAGCACCAAGGGATTACAGACACCAAGACCCCAGAAACTCGGCAGTGAGTTTGGAATTGCTCTCCAAAAGCCGAGGCGTGGTGCACAGTGGCTCCCGCCTATAATCCCAGTACTTTGGGAGGACGAAGCGGGAGCATCGCTTGCGCCCAGGAGTTCAAGACTAGCCTGAGCCACATAGCAAGGCCCTGTCTCTTAAAAAAAAAAAAAAAATTAAATTAAATTAAATTAAAAAAAAGCCAAGCAAGGCAAACAGAAAGGCAGCTTCAGACACACCCCTCTCTGGAGGCTTCAGAAGTATAAACTGCCTGCTGCAAGGGAACTTACAGGTTTTAAAAAATGAAATAAAATTAAACCAATAAAGAAATAAGAAAAAACAATACAGAAAGACCCCAGGCTTACGTTTCTAGAGGACTAGCACCTGATTCCACCTGGAATGGAACGGGAGGCTCTTAAGGATTTGGGGGTGGAAGCGCCATGAGAATAGAGCTGGAAAAGCAAAAGGAGTAAAGGCAGGCGCGCGTTTCCTATTTTTCCAGAAGGTAAAAATATCTACGACTGCCCCTGGGGTAACCGGCTTCGGGATGAGGAGCCTTCCAAGCGCTTAGGAGAGTGGACTCTCAGTCTATGGAGGCCTGGGGAGGGGATTCTCGGGCTCTGTGGCAGAGGCCATTGGGGGCACAGCCCAGGAAGGCTCCTAGTATCAGGGCCGGGAGGGTCGCGAGACGGTGTGTTCTTGTGTCAAGGAGAAACCTCACTGTCAGAGCCTGGAAGAGTGACTTCTGGCGAAGCAGGGTTCAGGGAAGGACCCCCACCTCAGGTCCCTCGGGTGTCTCTCGCCACCCCACCTTCCGCACAGGCGCCCGCCGCTGCCCTTCCGGTGGCGAAAGAGTTCAGAAAAGCGCGGGAAGGCACGAAACACGCTGAGCGCAAGCGCAATCCCAACGGCTCGCCCAGGGCCAGTAGCTATCGCGAGGCTTGGGAGTGTGCGAGCTGGTGCGCGCCACGTTTGAGTTACGCCGCTCCACAGCCTCGTGTGGCCTCAAGCTCTCAGGCGTGCTGCCCTGTCACGTGGGCTTGGCCACGCGTGCGGCCCGCTTTAGCCCCGCCCCCACCCAGGCCCCACCCCCGCAACCCTCAATCTCCCCCTCCATTGGACGGGTTTCGGACCAGACTCGTAGTAACCCCTTTAATCTGGCTTCTCAATTGCCATAGGCTGGATTCCACCCAGGCCCCTCCTTTTAAACAGAATCGCCACGCCCCCAAGGGAGACCACGCCCCTATTTTACCAACCTCCTCAGTGCCGGCCGGGTCCCGCCCCCCTACCGAGCTTCTGCGCTACATTGGCTTAATTTCTTCCTTGCCCCCGCCCCTGAAACCGGCTCCGAGCCATTATTGGCGGGGCCCCGCCTCGGACTCCGCCCCCTGTCCGGCTCCCCGCTCCCATTGTCTCGGCAGATGCCGCCTGGTCCAGCTATCGTGCTCGGTATTCAGTTTTCGGGGGTAGCGCTCTTTCTCTGGCCCGCTGAACGGTCCCACGGCCGAGTACCGGATTCCCGAGTTTGGGAGGCTCTTCTTTCCTCCTTAGGACCCACTTTGCCGTCCCAGGGTGGCTGCAGCTATGTTCGCGCTGCGACCTCTCCTGCTTCTGCTGCTGCCTCTGTGTCCCGGTCCTGGTCCCGGACCCGGGAGCGAGGCAAAGGTCACCCGGAGTTGTGCAGAGACCCGGCAGGTGCTGGGGGCCCGGGGATATAGCTTAAACCTAATCCCTCCCGCCCTGATCTCAGGTGAGGAGAAAGAGGAAGACTAGAGAATTGGGGGTGGGGGCGGGGGCGGGGCCTCCTCATCTCACAATAACTCTCTTCCCTTTCAGAGTGACCGTTATACTAATCTTTTCATCCCACAGTAGTGTCTGTTCTCCTCCTGTAACTTCCTTACCAGGATCACAATAACCCTGCTATGCACAGAATAGCGCTCTTACTCCATCCCCACCCCAGGAATCCCCTCCTCGTAATTAACACCCCCCTGTGTGTTTCTTTCTTCACAGCCATGTTCTCGCTGTTTCTATTAGCCCCTTCTATGAGAATACTTTATTGCTCACCCAGTAACCCCACCCTTCCAAGCCCCATTCTTCATCCCCTAGAAGCTGTCCTCCAAGTCCCTTAAGGTCTGGGGTGTGGACGTTGGGGAGGGTCACCTGAGGACACTCTGACCGCTGACTTGGCCCTCAGGGCAGCTGTTAAATAGATGATCCCGTGGCTAATGGGAGTGAACTTGGGATGGGTGAGGAGACAATAAGGTGGGGGATAGGGTCAGGTGGGGAAGAAGGTGCAGACAATAGAAAAGAGACCAGGCAGGTAGAAGAGAAGGCATCGTCCCCAGAGAGAGGCGGAAAATGGAAGGAATTTTAGGATATCACTTCCCACCATTCCTTCACGTCTCCTCTGTCCAGGTGAGCACCTCCGGGTCTGTCCCCAGGAGTACACCTGCTGTTCCAGTGAGACAGAACAGAGGCTGATCAGGGAGACTGAGGCCACTTTCCGAAGCCTGGTGGAGGACAGCGGCTCCTTTCTGGTTCACACACTGGCTGCCAGGCACAGAAAATTTGATGGTGAGGACCTGGGGTCCCCAAACTCAGCTTCATAGCTCTTCTCGGCGCTTAGGACCCCAGCAAGCCTCCTGTCCCCACTCCTTACTCCATCTGTGAAGACTCCATCCCCTCCCAGCCCTGGTTTAGCCCACCCACCCCCCAGACTCTATCTCCAGAGCCCTGCCCTCCCTGCTTCCCTGTCTGCCCCATCTCTGAGAGTTACTCAGTTTCTGATTCACTTGTCTTTTCTCTTCTCTCCCATCCCCTCCTGCCTCTGCCTGTTCACTTTTCATCCCTTCTCTGGCCTCACCCACCTTCCACCTGTTCCCTGCATTTGCTGCAGAGTTTTTTCTGGAGATGCTCTCAGTAGCCCAGCATTCTCTGACCCAGCTCTTCTCCCACTCCTACGGCCGCCTGTATGCCCAGCACGCTCTCATATTCAATGGCCTGTTCTCTCGGCTGCGAGACTTCTATGGGGAATCTGGTGAGGGGTTGGATGACACCCTGGCGGATTTCTGGGCACAGCTGCTGGAGAGAGTGTTCCCGCTGCTGCACCCACAGTACAGCTTCCCCCCTGACTACCTGCTCTGCCTCTCACGCTTGGCCTCATCTACCGATGGCTCTCTGCAGCCCTTCGGGGACTCACCCCGCCGCCTCCGCCTGCAGGTGAGGGATCCTGAGGCCTGAGCTTCAACCACTTCTGACCTAGTGACCCCTGAACTGTGCACCACTCATCTCCAAACTGGTGTGTTCCAGTCACCTCTGACCTGGTGATCCTCCCATCCTGCATTGAAGCCATTTCTGACCTGGTGATGCCTATCCTGAGCTTTACTTACCACTGCCCAACCCAGTGCCCCTTGGTCTTCTTGAAGCAGATGCCCCAACCCCTGCCACCTCCCATTCTGTGCCCTAGTTTCACACAAACACTCACCTACCCTTAACCTCCAGCCACCTTTGTGCCAACCCCTCCCTAATCCTAACACCTTGACTTCCTCTGGTTCAACTAAACAGGAATTATGTATTCAATATGCAAAAGGTATTTTCTTTTATAGTATCACATTTAGTTGTCATCATCACCCTGCAAGGTAGAGAGTCATGCCCTTATTTTACAGATGAGAAAACTGAGGCTCCCAGAGGTTAAGCTTTCCAGCCAGTAAATGGCAGAACCGTGGCTCACATCCAGGTCTTCTGGCTTCAAGTTCAGTGTTAGTTCTGATACACAATTTCTCTATCTCTAAGCCCTGTACAACATAATCCCTCCATCTCTTCCCAAGCCTTCCTTTGGTTTTCTTTAAGACTATAATTCCTGTGGGGCTCTTGAACCTGCCTCTCTGTACCACCCAACACTCGACCCACTTTGAGAGAACCCCACAAACCCAACCCTCACTGCTCTTGATGCAGTCTCTTGGCTCCAGCCTTGACTGACCCATAACACCCTTGTGGTTTTTCTCATCTTCTTTGCCTTCTCCCAGATAACCCGGACCCTGGTGGCTGCCCGAGCCTTTGTGCAGGGCCTGGAGACTGGAAGAAATGTGGTCAGCGAAGCGCTTAAGGTTAGAGGGGGCCTGAGTGTGGGCAGGGGCCAGGAAGGGAGAGGCGGAAATGAGAGAGACCCCACGAGGAAGAATTAGCCACCAGCCAGCACGACAGGCCTGGGGCTCTGTCTGCCTCTAGGCCCTGGTGTCCCAGGATGAATTAGGAAGGAGGGAGCTGGAGTGAAACCTCCACTGGTCCACGATCCATGATCTCTGACCCCCTCCTACCCTCTGTGGACCCTTACCCCCATCAGTCCCCAAGGGCCTGCTCATCTCCATAGCAGTCAGAGATTGGATACTGCCCCTGCCCAACCCCCCAGGAGCCCTCAATGACTCCACTTCCCTGCTGCTGAAGGCCAGATGCCTGGCTTGGCCTCTCTCACTGCCCATCCTCTACCTGACCTCCCAGCCTCACCTTCTGCCTCCTGACCGCCTCCTCCCTCCCCAGCTGTGATGGGCTCACTCTTGTCCTTGAATCTTCCCTCCACCCCTAACTGCCTCTTTAGTTCCACCCCTCCCACGAATCAGTGTCAGCAACCTGGAACCTCCCTCCTCAGATCTGTGACAATCTCACCTGCTGCCACATGTTGTCACCAGCCCTAGGCGTGGGGTGGGGTATGTGATTTCTGTCTGTGCCTGGCACCAAGCTGGGCTGAGAGAAGCCACAATGTTTGTGGAGGACATAGCCCCACTCTCTGCCCCCAGGTGCCGCTGTCTGAAGGCTGCAGCCAGGCTCTGATGCGTCTCATCGGCTGTCCCCTTTGCCGGGGAGTCCCCTCACTTATGCCCTGCCAGGGCTTCTGCCTCAACGTGGTTCGTGGCTGTCTCAGCAGCAGGGGACTGGAGCCTGACTGGGGCAACTATTTGGGTGAGGGGATTCAAGAAAGCCTGGAGCCAGGCATGGTGGCTCACACCTGTAATCACAGCACTTTGAGAGGCTGAAAGGCAGGAGGATCACTTGAGGCCAGGAGTTGGAACCCAGCAGGGGCAACATAGCTAGATATCATCTCTACAAAAAAAAAAAAGGAAGGAAGGAAGGAAGGAAGGAAGGAAGGAAGGAAGGAAGGAAAGAAAGAAAAGAAAGAAAGAAAAATTAGCCAGGCGTGGTAGCGCCCACGCCTGTAGTCCCAGTTACTCCTGAGGCTGAGGCAGGAGATCACTTGAGGCCAGGAGTTGGAGGCCAGCCTGGGCAATGTAACAAGACCCCATCTCTACAAAAATTACAAAAATTATCTGGGTGTGGTGGCATGTGCCTGTAGTCCCAGTTACTCCTGAGGCTGAGGCAGGAGATCACTTGAGGCCAGGAGTTGGAGGCCAGCCTGGGCAATGTAACTAGACCCCATCTCTACCAAAAAAAAAAAAAAGAAAGAACTTATTACGCGTGGTGGCACACATGCCTGTTGTCCCAGTTACTCCAGAGGCTGAGGCAGGAGGCTCCCTTGATCCCAGGAGTTAGAGCCTGCAGTAAGCTATGATGGTGCCCCTATACTCCAGCCTGGGCAAGAGAGTAAGACCCTGTCTTTTAAAAAATCCTTAAATTGGCCAGGCACAGTGGCTCACACCTATAATCCTAGCACTTTGGGAGACCGAGGCAGGCGGATCACAAGGACAAGGTCAGGAGTTCGAGACCAGCCTGGCCAATAGGGTAAAATCCTGTCTCTACTGAAAAGAAAAAAAAAAAAAAAAAAATTAGCCGGACATGGTGGTGGGCGCCTGTAGGCTGATGCAGAAGAATTGCTTGAACCCAGGAGGCGGAGGTTGTAGTGACCCGAGATCACGCCAGTGCACTCCATCGAGCCTGGGCGACAGAGGGAGACTCAGTCTTAAAAAAAAAAAAAAAAAAATCCTAAAATCCTAAAATTTAAATTTTAATTTTAAAAAAGTCTGGGATGGAGGAGGGTCCTGAGTAAGGCTAGGGGTGAACTGGAGAGGGGCTCTAAAGCCAAATTGGGAGAAAACATGAGAGGAAGCTCATGTGAGTTTCCCCGAAACACTCTACTGCTTCTCTAAGGCCCGATTGAGGATTTTCGGGAACATCCTAGTTCAGTATCACCACTCATCCCATCCTTTCTCTTTCTCTGCCTCCCTTAAGATGGTCTCCTGATCCTGGCTGATAAGCTCCAGGGCCCCTTTTCCTTTGAGCTGGCGGCTGAGTCCATTGGGGTGAAGATCTCAGAGGGTTTGATGTACCTGCAGGAAAATAGTGCGAAGGTGTCCGCCCAGGTACGGGGGAGAGAAGGGTGGAGGTGAGACCCGGGGCGGGGACGGTGTGGGTGTCAGGGAGACAGTATAGGGGATCTGAGAAGAGACTCTGGGGTCAGAGTGAGGACGCAGTGTGGTTTCCCCCAAGGGTGACTGTGAGGTCTCCTCCCCGTGCCGCAGGTGTTTCAGGAGTGTGGCCCCCCCCACCCGGTGCCGGCCCGCAACC